AATTTTCAATAAAGGCATTTGGAATTCTTTTAAGAGCCATTGACTACCTCTAAAGGATCAAAAAATTCAAATTTAGACAAAAGGGTTGGACACTGTGCCTCACTCACCAATCACCAATTATTTTTGGTACTTACTATCCAAATGGGTCCCACAATGCCTCGTGACGGCCATTGGTGCGTGGGATAGACTCTCCATAAAAGCAAGTGGGATTAAGTAGTGTAATTCTTTTTTTTTTTTTAAACAGTGTATAATTACTTAAGAGAGGGGAATGAAATTTTCAAGACGTTAGGGAATTGAAATTTCGAACCCATAAATACAAACACTTAAAAGTTTGAGGTGAATTGTTAAGTTTCGAAGGCTGGGTTCAGTATAATCCTCATTTAATTAAGCCTAAACCAAAAAAAGCAGAGAAAAAGAGGGAACGATTTTGAGAGTTTATGGTGGTGTCAGGGGTTAGAGGGAAGAGAACGTGTCCTATTTGAAGCACGGATCTAGATCCAATCAACTCACCCAATTTCCCACACTCTCACTCGCTGCCACTCACAAATTCTTTGGCTTTTTCTTTGAAGGGAGAGAGAAAAGGAGTAAAGTTTGAAGTTTTGGCTTTGACTGTCCTCGATAGGCACTAGAATCCAATATATACAGCAGCAGCAGAAGTGAAGAAATTGATGGTCGCTCTGCTTCTGCAGCTGCTGCTAGCTTCTGAAAATAGCCTTGAAAGAAGGCGGTGGTTTGGCCTTTGTAGAAAAAGTTTGAAACTTGAAAGCTGAAACTGTGTAAACTGAAAAACCCAGTTAGAATTTGAAGGGGAAGAGCAAGGGGAGCCATCATCACCCATGTTTCTCTCCTGGGTAAGTCTGTACTTTCATGCACAGAAACTGGTTTTTGAGTTTAATTAGGAAAGGGGAGCAAGAAAGAGCAGAGCTTGTTCAAGTTTTCTTCTTTAGTTGGTCCAACTTTTGTTCATTTTTTGCTTTATTAAGAAATTCAACCCCATATTTGCCCCTTTTCCCCTTTTAATTCACCACACGGATCATACTGTTTTTGACACTTTCTTTTCCTTTCTTCTTTTCTGTTTTTGGGGTTTTTTTTTTTTGCAGGAATAAGTGAATTAGAGGGAGTGAAGGGAGGGAGATACTGCACGTCTACAGTTCTACTCACTCTTAACAAGTTGGTAGGTGTTGGTTGTGGTTGAGAAAGAAGTTTTACTTGTAAAGAGCTCACTCCTTAGTCCTTACTCTCTCAAAATCAAAGAAGAAAAGCAATTTCAGAAAAGGAACACAAGGCCTTAATTGAGTTTTGAGTGGGTGTGGAAACCTTTAACTTTCCGTCATGGATGGTTATGAAGCAACAAAAATGGTACTTTCAAGAATCCAGAGCTTAGATCCAGAAAATGCCTCCAAAATCATGGGTCTTTTGCTCATTCAAGATCATGGAGAAAAGGAGATGATTCGTTTAGCTTTCGGTCCGGAAGCCCTTGTTCATTCTGTGATTCTTAAAGCAAGAAAGGAGCTGGGATTGGCCTCTAATTCTCCTTCTGCACCCACTACTCCTTCATCCCCATCTCCTTTTCTTGGAAATAATCCAAACCCAGTTCCATTTTCAAGGCAAAATTCTTCAAGGCTTAGTGGAGTAAATCCTCAACCTTCTCTGACAATTCCAAACTCCGCCTCTTCTGGTAACTCTACTTGGAGTGGTCTGTCTGATCTTCCAACCCCAGATGAATTGATTAGCCCAAATGGTAGCTCTTTGAATCCCTCTTCCTTACCCTTCTATGGAAATGGAGGAGGATCTGATATGATTGCTGAGTTTCAGCTTCAGGACCAACTATCTTTCCTCAATGAGAACACACAAAACCCCAAAAACCATGATTTGTTCTACCCTCATACAGACTTAGCTTCAAGCCCACCTGGTGGCGGTTGTGGTGGTGCTGACATGGTTTTTCCGTCTTGCTGGGGCGGTTCTGTTCACAGGCGGAGCTGCTCGGTTAACGACGTTCTGGGGTCAGATGATCCTGCTTCAGGGTTAGGCTGGAGGCCATGCTTGTACTTCGCAAGAGGGTACTGCAAGAATGGGAATAGCTGCAGGTTTATCCACGGCAGCCTAGGAGAGTCCGCCTCCGCCGCCATGCTAGGTGGTGCAGATGGTGTAGCTATGGTTGGTTCACCTAGCAAAATAGACATGACGGACCAGTGCTATGATATACTCAGATCCAAGTCTGCTCAACAGCAGAGACTGGCTGCTGCTTCTCAACTCATGGGTTCTGCTTCTTTCCCCTATTCTCCAAAGTCCCTGAACCTGTTTCTTCAACAGCAACAAACTGATACTCAGAGGTACAGAGACCTTGAATCTGTTTCTTCATTTCTGGTTCTTTTAGTTATGTGATTATATGTTCAAACTCTGTTTGTGAATTTGTTGCAGAGCTGCTGCTGCAGCCTTAATGATGGGGGGAGATGACATGCTCAAATTTGGCCGTTCAAGGCTTGAAAGGAATGGCTTTTCATTGAATGGCGAGGTAATAAACCCAGCATCGAGACAGATCTACCTCACTTTCCCTTCTGATAGCACTTTCAGAGAGGAAGATGTCTCGAATTACTTCAGGTTCTTGTTCTTGATCAACGCGTATTACTTTTGGGTTTTGTGTTTCCAGCACTTTGGAGAGAATTAACGTCCCCCTTTTTTTTTTTTTCCATTTTTTCTTTTTTAATCTTATTCTTTAAGTATTTATGGACCTGTTCAAGATGTGAGGATTCCATACCAACAAAAAAGAATGTTTGGGTTTGTTACTTTTGTTTATCCTGAGACTGTGAAGATCATTCTGGCTAAAGGAAACCCTCATTTCGTCTGTGATGCTCGGGTTCTTGTTAAGCCCTACAAAGAGAAAGGAAAAGTCCCAGACAAGTACAGGCACTCTCTTTCTCTCCAAATCTTCCCTTAAAAGTTCACATTTTTCTTAACTTAATCTTGAGATTTTCCATTGTTTCATTTCCATCTGCTACAGAAAGCAGCAGCAACAAGTGGAGAGGGGAGAGTTCTCTCCTTGTGGTACTCCTACTGGCCTTGATTCAAGAGACCCATTTGATCTTCAGCTTGGTAAAACCATTACAAAGAAACTGAATTTTTTGACAAAGTAGTAGAAGGGAAATGATGTGCCTCATTTTGATCTCTTCTTATGGAACAATCAGGGACGAGGATGTTCTATAATACCCAGGATCTGTTATGGAGGAGGAAGTTAGAGGAGCAAGCTGATCTCCAGCAGGCCCTTGAACTGCATAGCAAAAGGCTAATGGGTCTGCAACTTCTTGATGTCAAGAACCATCACCATCACAGGGCTCTTTCTAGTGGAAGTCCCATTCCTTCACCCACCACTCACTCACCGAACCTCTTCAACCACCAATCCTTTGTGCTTCCCCCATGGAATGGTGGCACAGAACTTCCTGAGAATTGCTCTAGCCCCATCCCTGCAATTTCTGTCACTGCTCCCCCTGAGAAGCAGGCAACAAATGGGGCTGCTGCCAGTAGCAGTGAAGAGAGTGGCAGTGGGAAGGAGAGTCCTCACTGTGAAGATCTTCCAGTAAGGTATAGTCTCTTTTTTTTTTTTTAATCACCCTTTTCGCTTAAATTTGACTTGGTGTTCTGTTTCAGTTTATGTTTATCTGAGTTTATGCATCTTGACTCTTGAGTGCAGTTTGGAGCACAATCTCCCTGATAGTCCCTTTGCATCTCCTACAAAAGTCCCTGAAGAGTTCTTACCGGCAGCTTTCTCAAATGCTAGTGAAGCCGAGAAAGATGCTCCTGTCCCAGTTTCATCTTCTGCTAACAATAATTTGGTTTCTTCAACCTTTATATCTGCTAATAACTCACTGGACATGGGATCTTTCAAGTCCTTTAACTGCCAAATGCCCAGGTACCACAATTTTGCACCAATCCACCATAAACTCAATCCCTGTCTAGTTTCAAAAACCATGTTCATGGATCAATCTGTGTTTTGATTCAGGTTCTCATCCGGACACGGCGGAGCTATTACTATGTATGCCAGCAACGGCGGTGGACCAACCTGCCTTGCTTCTTCCTTTGCTTAGGTAGATGGATATACATAACACATAGGATTCTTAACTTTTGCGCACTGTTTGGTTTGATTTATTTGCATTACTAGGTGTGGGGTTGTTATGCTAATCAAGGTTTTGGCCTTTTTGTTAACAATTACAGGAAGATAGAAAAGTATAACCAAACAAAGAACTCACATCAGATATCTGTTAGGGAAGAGATCACCACCACCATCCCAGCCATCATCCATCGTCAGCAATATCATACTTACTACCATACAAATTGCATACGGAAAAGGCAGCATGAGGAAGTGGGTCAGCCATTCCTTTCTTTGTTGTACTACTTTATAAATCTCTTTGTTCAGTAGTTGCAGGTTATGGACCACAGGTAAAAAAAAAAAGAAGGCATAGTAAAGAAAAAGGGAAGAAATACACAGTCAATGTGTAGTTGTAAGTTGTAACTCCCCTATGAAGAACTGTAATATCCTCCTCCCTCCATGGTTTCCTTAGGAGAAACAGAGGAAAAAGGTTCCATTTTTAGGGTTAGGGTTCTTAGGATATAATCCAAAATCAAATCTTTCTGTACAGGTAGCTGTGGGTAATTCAACATGTGTGACAACAAAAGTTAATGTTTACCCAAGAAGGGTAAAAAATCTGGGGGTAATCAAAGGAAGGAGAAGAAATTGTCCGAAATTGGGATTTTTCCCCCCTTAATGAGATTGTACTCCTAGTACTGTTACTACTATTGTATTAGTTGCCACAGAAAGAGAAGTAAAAGAAAGTGGATTTGCATGATCTAAATTTGGTTTCTTTATGGAATTCTTTAAGAATATTGATTGAGGGTTTATTTATTATAATAATTATTATTATTTTATATAAAAAATAATTTTAATTTTATGAATAAATTTAATTAAAATATTTTATATAATAT